TAAGCTGGCAACTGAAAGTTTAAAGAGTTACTGTCTTAACTATTGTGTCTTTTTCATTGAAGGAACAGTACATAGTGATAGTAGAATAGTAGGAATATTACGGAATAGTACTTGACGCATCCAGGCAGTACCCACTCAGCTAGTACTCACATTAAGAATCAAGAGTGCTAAGGTTAATAGAAAGTATTCTCCTGTTTAAAATGTTACATTTTCTAGATTAGTGTTCAATGCTAAAAATAAAAACAAAGAATCTTTGTTTTTACAATAACAACATTTGAATTGTATGTACTATAATTAAATGTTCCCATTAAATTAAAGACCTAAGCAAATGGCTCTTGTTGGACAGCATTTTTAAGGTTTCTTAAATATAAAAGTAATAATTCATTATATTAAATATACTACAAACATATGCTGCAGTCCATGGAGAGATGAAACCATATTATGTATTCAAGGGGTAACTAATGTAATGTTTCTTTATTAGCCCTATACAATTTCTTGCATTAGGAATGCGTCTTTTAATGAAGCAGGATCAATCACTGTTACAAATAAAAGAATAAGAAAAACATAAGGGGAAGTAAAATCACACTCTTCATGAGCCTGGAATGGAGTGAAACATATTTCAGACTATAATTGATTTATGTCAATTTCCTTTTAAATAAAATGTAAGGATATGTCTTTCCATACAAAATAATGAGTGATACCTATAGTACAAAGTGTCTTAAAGAGTTTAGCAATGGCCAGTTTCAGTCCTCAAAATCAACGAAAGACAAATAAAGAAACTGAGGACCTGAACAGGCTGTTATGTGTAGTGCCAGTACTTAGCTACAATGAGAGGAGTATAGTGAAGTAAAATGTTTTTGAGAGGAGTATAGTGAAGTAAAATGTTTTAACTCCCTCTTAAACTGTACAGAGGGTATCCCGTTATAAATCAGCTCAGTGTTCATTATTTTGCATACTATATGATTAATCAATTAATTAAGGAACTAAATTCATATGTTGCAAACATGTCTTTCAAGGCACCACAAACCAGCAAGGTACAGTAGGTGGCGATGTGCAATCTATGTGGAGTTTGTATTCTCTCCCCATGATTGTGTAGGTTTCTGCCATGGGCTCTGGTTTCCTCCAACAGTCCAAAAACATACTTGTAGGTTAATCGGCTTCTGAGAAAATTGTCTCTGGGTGACAGTGTGAGTGTGTCTGTCTACACTAAGACAGACATCTCATTCAGGGTGTACTCTTGCCTTTCACCCCTTGCTTCCGGGAATAGGCTCCAGGTCCCCTGCAACCCTATATTTGAAGAAGTGGTTAGAAAATGGATGGAAGTAATTTTAACTCTACTTCCAATACTAAGTCTATAGAAAAACAAACTAGATTTATAACCTGACCCTCTGTACTGTATTTAGGTAGTTTCATACAAACAGTAACTTGTGTTCCCTAACCCTCCTCTATTGATTCTATTGTGAAAAATCACCTTAGTTTAGGTTGCACGTTTTAATGGTTCCTTAATCTCTAAGTCATATATCCTAAATCCACAGTTAAAAAGAAGGTGCAACCTTTGGCATCCCACTGTAACTGCTGTGACCAGAAGTGCATACTGAGTCAGATCTTAGCAACAATGATTTCTGCATTAATTACTCATAAAAATGTGGTCTGATCTTCAGCTCAGTCACAATAATAGACAAACACAATCTGCTTAAACTAATAACACAAACAATTGTACTTGTTGTCAGTACAGAACACATAATTTAAAAATTTGCAGTCTAGGTTGGAAAAAGTATCTCAACCCTTCTATTTAGTAACTGGTAGAACCTCCTTAAGCAGCAATAACCTCCACCAAACATTTCAGGTTTCGGGTCATTGTCTTGTTGTATCACCCAACTTCTATTAATCTTCAGGCGACAGACTGCTACCCTGCCCTGACATTCTCCTGTAAAATTTTGAATTTTGAATTAATTGTTCCCTCTGTGATAGCAAGCTGTCCAGACATCAAAGCAGCCCCAAACCATGATGCTCCCTCCACCATGCTTCATGGTTAGGATGAGGTTTTGGTGTTGGTGTGCAGTGCTTTTTTTCCCCTCCAAACATAGCGTTGCGCATTTCTGCAAAATAGTTCAACCTTTGTCTAATCTGTCCACAGAATGTTGTCCCAGAAGTGTTGTGGGACATCCAGGTGGTCTTTTGCAAACGTGAGACATGCAACAATGTTTTTTCAATGTCAATGTAGAGCAGTGGTTTCCTCTGTGGTGTCCTTCCATTAACACCATTCTTGTTCAGTGTTTTTCTTTTAGTGGACACATTTACAGAGACTTTTGCAAGTTCAAGAGATTTCTGCAGGTCCTTTGCCATTACCCTAGGGTTCTTTTTCACCTCCTTCAGCATTACACACTGCTCTCTTGCTGTGATCTTTGCAGGATGCAAACTCCTAGCAACAGTACTGAACTTCCTCCATTTGTACTTTAGAAAACTTGTATTACTGTGGATTGATGAACACCCAGGCCTTTAGAAATGCTTTTTTAGCCTTTTCTAGCTTTATGCAATTCTTCTAAGGTTCTCTGCTATTTCTTTTTATCAGGGCATGGTTCACATGAACAGCTCTTTCTTGAGAAGAGGAGACTCTGTCAGTAATCAATCTTTGTATAGGGCAGAGCACCTCCAACTCACACCTCCTCATGATTGGAACACCTGACTCCAATTAACTTTTGGAGAAGTAATTAGCCTAGAGGTTCACATACTTTTTCCAATCTAGACTGTGAATGTTTAAATGATGGGATGAGTAATGACAAGAAGAAGTAAAATTGTTTATGTATTAGTTTAAACAGATTGTGTTTGACTATTATTGTGACTTAGTTGAAGATCTTCTCATATTTTTCTGAGGAATTAATGCAGAAATTCAGGTAATTCCAAAGGGTTCGCACTTTTTCTTGCAACTGTATATATCCCTAAATCCATAAGGTTCTTATGGGGAAGGATTCCTCTACATATGTTACTTTCATGTACTTCACTGACTGAATTGCTAATAAGCTATTTTCAAAATGATCTCATGCTGATCAGTTAGGCCAATGATGGCCAAATGCAGGCCTCAAGAACGTAGTGTATTTCAGGATTCTTGTTTTTATCTATTTCCAGCATGTCTCAACAAATTAATTTTTTTAATTGTCTGTTATGTACTTATAGGACACAATTAAATTAAAGTGTTGATTTATTTGTCCCGGTCTAATGGTATTAATTACCGGTTATAGATTATGTGATTGATATGTGGATCAATGTTTTGTTTAAATCCGGTTATGTACGATAGATGAGATTTCAGTCTAAAATGACTCAAAACATCTGTTTGTGAAAGTTGAACAGACTAGTATGTGGTGTTGTTTAACAGACATTGAAAACAACTGAAAACATACCCAATAGCTGGCAAAAATATTACGTACAGTAACTGAGGCAAGCTGAGTATGAATATGTTAAGTGTTTAGGAAGGCATGAAGATGAAAAGAGCACAAATTCTGTTACATGTTATGAAATTTTGCTAAAGAAATCATAGATAATAGAGGAATAGATTTAAGAACTTCTATGGATCACATTTCTTTTACAGCAGCCTACAGTAGGTCTATGTACAGTATATAGTGCTTTTTTCCCATTTCTGTCATTATTTTTTGTTTTCCATTAACCCCAGTTATATTGATATGAACACTGATATGCAGCCAATCAAAGAAACTTTGTTTGTACAAAGCACAAGGTAGGAGTATTTCAGTGCTACATTTACTGTATACACTTATCAGTCACATTTTTGCTTTTAACATTTAGTGAAGTAACAAGAGAATATTCCTAAATTCATCATAAAATGTGAGAAAAATTCACTGAAGTAATAATTATAAAATAAATGACATTGAAAAAAATATATTAATATTTCCAAAGCATATTTATCAAGATTAACACATTCAGTTTAAAAGATCCTGTTTATTCAGTTTCAAAGATCATGCAGCTGAAAGACATACATTTATTTTCAATGTAGGCTTTAGAACATTAAGGAAACACACAAATGCAAACTGGCCTTATGTTATCCACGTAAACGTAACTTATGGTCTATAATCTAACGGGCTAGTAAAGTAAATTTCACAGGTGAATATTCAATTTGGTTGACAGGTATTTATCAGATTTAAAGTGGTGGTGATTGAAACAATGATATTCACAAATTACTTTAGAACAATAAAAGTTTCTTAAACTTTTTTATCAAAGACAGCACCTTTTTGAGGTCTGCACACTAGTAAGTAATGGGAAACATTTCAGGTAGATTAAATATTCATATTTTAAAATTGTATTCGAAAGAATATGCATTTCAAATATGGCCAAAACTTACACCTGCACTCGTTTTAATTTGGTTAATTCATCAGGGACCTTTCCGTAATATAACGTATTTATCTAAGTGAACTAGAGAACAGCAAACTGTCAATGTCTCAAATGTTGCCATCATTCATCTGCAACTGTGTACATATACTGTATAGTACATGTATAAAAATAAGTGTGCAGGTCAACTATTTGTGCATCACTGTTAATTTATGAATGTTAGCATAAACCTTTACAAACTGTCCAAAAGTCCCCCAAATACCTCTTCAACCCCATAACACTTTTTTATATGACCTAGTTGCGTGAGATCAGCACTGCTGAAACTCAAGATGTTTGCAAAAATCAACACTGTATTTTTAAGAAAATCCAAAACAGCGCTGTTTAGGCATTAGAGAAAATATCAAAACTCGAGGTGTACTGGAATGCTTACGGAAATCAGTCCACTGGAGTGATTTTTTTTCCTTTTTAATTAGCTTTGATTGCGATCTAAGAAGCTTTATGGATACACACCACGTTGTCCATTCTGCTTGTATCATCATTGCAAACTCTTGCGCACCCCCTGGTGCTTGCTAGTCTCCAAAACTTCTTTGTGTTGCCTGCTTTGCAGATTGTCTTCCTTGTCTCTCTGGTTGCTCATTATTCAGAGACAGACGGATCTCAGGTCATCTGCAGCTGCAGCAAAGGAGAAGCAGGAAAGATGGCGATCATCCACTAGACCGGGCACACGCATGAGACACAAAACAACTTTTAGAAAGGTCTCTTTTCTGGACGAACTCGTAAGTAAAACGCGAATCCAAAACGTTAAGATCACTGCTTTATTAATGATCCATAAACAAGATGTTGTGGTTGAACGAAAAACCTGGAGAGCGTCTGTTTAATGAGCTGGAAAAAGCTGAAGGTTTTTTTTCTTTTTAGTTTAGGACCAGTCGTGGTGACTTGGAGAGAGCGAGAGCAATAGAAAGAAAGAGAAAGAAAGAAATGAAGAAAGCTCGTGTTGGCACCCAAACATGTAAAGCCAGCCAGAACGTGACCTCTTTATTTTTTTCTACCACCCATTTATTTGTACGTGTTTTTTGGAAATCGAGACTCTAAACAGGACCTCACTAGAGCTTGCGTTGTGTACGAGTACCCGGGAGAGTTTTATTTAGGTAGGTCTGGTGAGGGATTTTGCTTTCTCCCTCTCTTTTGATCGTTAGCTTGGAAGGAGAAGCCATTGCACGGATAGCTCTCCTCTCCCAGCACTAGTGTTTAAAAGAGCTGAGCCTCCATTAACGACTGTCTGGCATTGCTGCTGGTCCAAGTCCAGATACTCACTCAAAAAAGCTCTGTCCAGGTTTTTTGTTGATCCTATTGGCTTCCCTAACACCGATTAAATTTAAACGGCTGGATTTTCTGTTTTTCCTAACGAGTGACTTGAAGCTTCCAGTTCTGAGGGGGTATTTCTTTAATTGCAATTGGCTTGTTTTTTTCTCCCTTTGCTGCTGCAAGCTGGGGTTTGGATGTCTGTGCTGACAGGGCTCTGAAGTCAGGTATGTCATTGTGGGCTTCACCATAAAATGGAGGAAAGCACAGCAGTCTCTAAGGAGAGACTGAAGTCAGAAATCCCCAACAAGAACAAAGGTTGACTTTGTTGTTTAGCTTATCAGTATGACTTTTGCTTGTGCAGGTTCCAGCCCAGGCACAAATAGAAGCTTGCAAGAATGCTTTGTCTTGTGAAGTCATGGTTAAGTTTTTGCTTTACTGTGGACTTCACAAGAAAATGGAGGGCGGTAGAGCTTCCAGAAGCAGGACTGAAAAGGGATTGGGATCGACGGTGTGATGGAGGGAGACGAGCCATGGATGAGACAGGAATTTTAATGCTTAATTATGCAGTAGCAGAACCCAGAAGTCCTTGGTGTTGTAGACAGAGAGAAAGCTGGTGGCCTTCAGGAGCTTTTGAAATATTTTAGTTTTACAGAGTATGAGTTCCTAAGCTGATGAGATGTTCCTTTGATGATGGCATTCTCAAATTAAGTGTGACTGATTCTTCTAGATGATAAAAGAAGGAAACAAAGACTAGGTGGTTTTCAAGTCTATGTTTTCCAAATGTGCTTTTTACAGAATATGCTACTCGAGACAAACTTTTGATCTTTTAACATCTTTGGTTATGGATTTAATTAGCACATTGGCTGTGAATTTGTGGTTGTGCATTCATAAACTCATTAGAGTCCCATAACAGTAGTGGTGTTCATTCACAAGGCATGTGGGACACCACAACAAATTAAAATATGTACAGAGGAGAACCTCATGAATTCATCATATTTATATATAACTCAATGTTTTACATTTTCTTTAAAATATTTATATTCTGTGTTATGACTAAGGAAAATAAAATATATTGCATTCCTATACAATTTACAAAAATCAACCAATAGCTTTGGTTTCCCAACATCTATAGTAGAAAGAAATCACTATTGGATATGTGGAATTTTGAATTTGAAATGTGTAATGCATGTGTGCCATTTTGACAATTATTTGACAATTCTTATGTTTGTCTAGTGTTAGAACTCATGGGAAGCTTGGAAAATTTACATAGAACAAAGGGAAGTTATTTTCTTTTTATGCAGGTTTATTTTTCATGTATCTTGAGTATTCTTTCATAATGCGTAATTTGTACATATAACATACTTTATCAGGAAATGGATATAAATGCATTTAAAAAATCAGATTGCTGCAGAATTCCAAATCTTCTGGTTTTATATTTCAACTTGATACATCTTTGGTAAATTCAACACATGGATACTGCAATTATCCATATTATTTGAGAGGTTTTTATGGGCTACTGTAGTTTGGTGATTCCTACAAGAATGCAAGGAGAGAGATCTAGACAGCTAATCTTTTTGTGCAAAGCTGCTATGCTGTGAGCTATCAAAATGGTGGTATTTTATTTAATGGCCAAACTACCTATTCTGTTTTATTATTTGATGGCTTCAATAGTTGATGGACTCAAATTATTTCTGTTGTGTTCTCCTTTTACAAAATCTTCCAGTTTGGTTCTTGATGACCATATTTTCTCAAGGATATAAAGAATTGAACACAAGATTTTCTTTAAAATATGGATATGAGCATGATGATGTCATGCAACTATGTTTAAACATTGGTGTTCAGTAAAATTTTCCTTCCTCTCAGCCCACCTCTTCCACTTTGAATTCAGCTGGGCTTTCCATAATTAAATAATAATTCTCCTTGGTTTTAAAACAACAGTCACAATATTTGTTTCTCAAGAACGTTTTCAAATAATATTCCACAATCATATTTCAAAGTAGTTTGTATGATCCTAATTATGATTCATTTAACAATGCCTTTTCATAGGTTTTATTGTGGTGTTATGTTGGCTAGACACAACCTTACCCATTACATTTTGACGTTTACATGTTTGAAAATGCATAAAGTTGGACCTTATTGACCCTCAAGATTGGGAGCATATTTACTTTTGTGCTTCTGAAATTGCAGCCATTTCTTCACCTGTTGTCTACAACTAAGAGTTTTTTTTTCTTGCTAGATTTTTAGATATCTTTTTGGTTGGAGGTCTTCATAATGTAGAATATGTAAATGTTTTTTTTCTGTACAAATAGAATGCTTGGTTGTGAGATGCTTTTTATGGTTTTCTTCTAGGTTTGCATTTTATTTTTTTATATACTGCTGCTCACTTATTGTACCTTTTGTTCTCAATCCTATTAATGGGGAACCCAGTTTCAACTGATCTCTCAATCACTGGTCTTTAATTGATCTACTTGCTTGAGTTTTTTCTGCACTCAGTCTTTGATTTTAAAAATAATTAAATAATTAAAAAAATAACGTATTTTTTAAAAGAATTTATAGATAATGAACTATATGCATTCTTTCCTCACTTTACTTAAATTTGTGCATTGATCTGTTTAGTTGTTAATAAGTGAACAGTTTATGATACAGGCAGGAATGACTGTATCAAATTCTCCCCTATTTTTTTCTATCCTTCATTCATCCAGTTTATTGCATTTCAGGTAGCACAGCTGAATGAGGAGAGTTCTGATTTGTGCTGGTTTGATACCAATTACAAATGTCATTCAAATATATAAGAGATTAAATGAAACTTGAAAGTATGCCTCAGATTAAAAAAATCCAAATCAATTAGCCTGCAATTGAGAACTCATCTAGAACAAAAAAGCAGAAGAGACAGATCTCTTGTGACTATAACTGAGAACCTCTGTCTTCTGCAGTACAAACCTCAATATATTAGGTTTTCTATTTTTTGTGATTTAAAGTATTTTGTCAAGAAAGAAAAAATTGAGATTTATGAATTTTGTTCCTCACATAGTCCCAGGAAAAATGGAATGGAACCCGCAATTGCTTGATGATAAATTCAGCAAATGCATATACTGTAGGAGCAAAATATCAAAGATGTTAAATTACTTGCCACTATTAAAAGCAACATTAGGCTTTACATGCCAGAAAAATGATTATCATCAACAAGAAAGCTATTGAGTGGTGGCCTTCATTCTCACCTTGATTTCTTCAAAGCAGATTTGCTCCAAATTTGTCCCATTTACAGGGAAAGCACAGCATCATACTGTATGACAGTGTTAACTTTTTGTCATCTACTTTATAGAGAAAGAAAGTAGTATAAAAATACATGCAAATGTGGGTTATTTCAGTCCATTTATTCTTCGTGATTAGATTATTTGGTCTTATTCTGCAATATGTACCACATTGTTCTAAAGTTCTGTGAGTCATTTTAATAAACCCAGACAAAGCACAGAGTGGAACATTCCAGTTGCCTTTTGTGTGCATGCTATCCATGGCCCCAGGTATTTCATGATCAGGCCACACCTACAACTACTTTAATCAGTTTGAGGTGCGTCACTCTTATAACACGTCTTTCTGGGAATATTACAGAATGATAGAAAAAATCACCTAATTTTTCATTTTCTATATATCCATACAGACATCCGGGTGCTGCCCTGTCTTTTATTCGCGATCTGACATGAATCTAATCCACTCAGTGCTGCTGTTTGTGTTGTCAGTTCTTTTCACAAATGGTCCTGTTATTCTTTGTGAGCCCTGGACATACAGTATATCCCTGTAATTTATCTAAGCTGTTTTTAGATTAGTACTAGCTCTAGAAATATACATGAATACATGAAGGACTCGACCACACCTTTGACAAATTTCAGCATTGTACACATTAAAATAAAACGTACTTGACAAATGTTTAAGTACTGAATTGTGCATCAGTTAGCCAATTATCTTATCTTTTAACCCCTAAAATGGTCACTATGTATAAGCTGTATATTATTATGATTTAAGCAGCTTCTTATAATGGCATTAAATATTTAAATATATATGGTCAAAGTTATGTTCTTTGTACAAAATGTATATATATTCATACTATCCCAGTCTTGAATTCTAACTTTCCACATGTCGAATCTTGTGAAATTAATTACCTGCTTTTCCTGAATAATGACATTTTTATTTAGAATGACAAGAGGACTGGTAACTTTATTTTAGAATCGGTCACAGTCTCTTATTGATTATTATTATTTATCGGACTGATTTCACTATTTGCAACATGTACTTAGCTATAGAGATGTAAAAACATTAATTATAATGTCAAGATTTTTTGTTGTCAAAAATAAGGAAATAAAAAAATATTACAAATGTATAGTCATATTGTTTTAGGAATATGTGCCATTGGTGCTCTGGGCATCAAGATGTTCATCTCAGTTTGCCTCTACTACATTAATTACTGTAATGCATT